GCGCCCCGCGCGCTGCCCCCGCCGTTAGCGCCGGGCACAGCCCTCACACAGCTCCCGCCCACCCGCGTAGGGAAGGAACCTTCCTCTTTTACAGTTTCATAGCCCAGGAGTTCGGTTTTAAGACGCTGTTGGCACAACCATGTTCTGACATCGTCTTGGATTTAATTTAAAAAGAAATCTAAGTTTCATCCCCCGTGGTTACAGGGGACAGAAGTGTAGCCCCCATCCCCAGATCTTTTGCCTCTGATAGCTCGAAGACAGAGGAGACATTTTTACTTCAAAAAGTCTTAAAATGAGACATGAAGGATAAGGTTAGTTCTTAAAAAGTAGCTCTGGGGCTTCACTACACTTCCGAATGCCTGGAGTTGACAATACTGACCAGCCGTTGTCCAAAGGAGTGAATATCTTAGTTTCTTTCATCTCTTCCCATCCCAGACCCAGGTAAATATCTTTCAAGTTCCCCACAGACTATTTGATTCCCACTTGTTTTGTCCACCTCTTTCGCATCACCATGAAGTTAGTTTTTAGTAGCTGTTCATTAAATACAGCCTCCTGAGGGAGGATGAATCTTTCAGGTTGTGTATCTAAATGTACATATTTTGTTTTAATCTACTTATATGTTGCACTAGGAAAGGATTAGTATAAAAATATAGAATCACAATTTTATAAAGGCACTTGAGCCCCCAGGACTCACTTCTAGGGCCAGTCTTGTTTAATATCTTTGTCAATGACCTGGATGAGGGGATTGAGTGTGCCCTCAGTAAATTTGCAGACGACACCAAACTGGGTGGCAGTGTTGATCTGCTTGAGGGGAGGAGGGCTCTGCAGAGAGACCTGGACAGGCTGGATCGATGGGCCGAGGCCAACTGTATGAGGTTCAATAAGGCCAAGTGCCGGGTCCTGCACTTTGGTCACAACAACCCCATGCAGCGCTACAGGCTTGGGGAAGAGTGGCTGGAAAGCTGCCTGGTGGAAAAGGACCTGGGGGTACTGGTTGACAGCCGGCTGAATATGAGCCAGCAGTGTGCCCAGGTGGCCAAGAAGGCCTGTATCAGAAATAGTGTGGCCAGCAGGAGCAGGGAAGTGATCGTCCCCCTGTACTCGGTGCTGGTGAGGCCGCACCTTGAATACTGTGTTCAGTTTTGGGCCCCTCACTACAAGAAAGATGTTGCATTGCTGGAACATGTCCAGAGGAGAGCAACCAAGCTGGTGAGGGGTCTGGAGCACAAGTCATACGAGGAACGGCTGAGGGAACTGGGGTTGTTTAGTCTGGAGAAGAGGAGGCTGAGGGGAGACCTGATCGCCCTCTACAACTACCTGAAAGGAGGCTGTAG